GTGTTCCTGGGTGTACCTGGGTGTACCTGGGTGTACCTTGGTGTACCTGGGTGTTCCTGGGTGTACCTGGGTGTACCTGGGTGTTCCTGGGTGCACCTGGGTGTTCCTGGGTGTACCTGGGTGTACCTGGGTGTACCTGGGTGTTCCTGGGTGTACCCGGGTGTACCTGGGTGTACCTGGGTGTTCCTGGGTGTACCTGGGTATTCCTGGGTGTACCTGGGTGTACCTGGGTGTACCTGGGTGTTCCCGGGTGTACCTGGGTGTTCCTGGGTGCACCTGGGTATCTTTGGGTGTACCTGGGTGTACCTGGGTGTTGCTGGGTGTACCTGGGTGTTCCTGGGTGTATCTGAGTGTACCTGGGTGTACCTGGGTGTACCTGGGTGTTCCTGGGTGTACCTTGGTGTACCTGGGTGTACCTGGGTGTTGCTGGGTGTACCTGGGTGTTCCTGGGTGTATCTGGGTGTACCTGGGTGTACCTGGGTGTACCTGGGTGTTCCTGGGTGTACCTTGGTGTACCTGGGTGTATCTGGGTGTTCCTGGGAGTACCTGGGTGTATCTGGGTGTTCCTGGGTGTACCTGAGAGTACCTGGGTGTACCTGGGTGTACCTGGGTGTACCTGGGTGTATCTGGGTGTACCTTGGTGTACCTGGGTGTACCTGGGTGTTCGTGGGTGTACCTGGGTGTTCCTGGGTGTTCCTGGGTGTTCCTGGGTGTTCCTGGGTGTTCCTGGGTGTTCCTGGGTGTTCCTGGGTGTTCCTGGGTGTTCCTGGGTGTTCCTGGGTGTTCCTGGGTGTTCCTGGGTGTTCCTGGGTGTTCCTGGGTGTATCTGTGTATTCCCGGGTGTACATAGGTGTACCTAGATGATCCTAGGTGTACCTGGGTGGTCCTGGGTGGTCCTGAGTGTACCTGGGTGTTCCTAGGTGTACCTGGGTGGTCCTGGGTGGTCCTGGGTGGTTCTGGGTGTTCCTAGGTGTACCTGGGTGTTCCTGGGTGTACCTGGGTGTACCTGGGCGTACCTGGGTGTACCTGGGTGTACATAGGTGTACCTGGGTGTACATAAGTGTACCTGGGTGTACCTGGGCGTACCTGGGTGTATCTGGGTGTACATAAGTGTACCTGGGTGTACCTGAGTGTATCTGGGTGTACCTGGGTGTACATAGGTGTACCTGGGTGTACATAAGTGTACCTGGGTGTACCTGGGTATACATAGGTGTACCTAGATGTTCCTAGGTGTATCTAGACGGTCCTAGGTGTACCTAGATGGTCCTAGGTATACCTAGATGGTCCTAGGTGTACCTAGACGGTCCTAGGTGCACCTAGATGTTCCTAGGTATACCTAGATGGTCCTAGGTATACCTAGATGGTCCTAGGTGCACCTAGATGGTCCTAGGTATACCTAGATCTTTCTAGGTGTACCTAGACGGTCCTAGGTGCACCTAGATGGTCCTAGGTATACCTAGATGGTCCTAGGTATACCTAGATGTTTCTAGGTGTACCTAGACGGTCCTAGGTGCACCTAGATGGTCCTAGGTATACCTAGATGATCCTAGGTATACCTAGATGTTTCTAGGTGTACCTAGATGGTCCTAGGTGCACCTAGATGGTCCTAGGTATACCTAGATGTTTCTAGGTGTACCTAGACGGTCCTAGGTGCACCTAGATGGTCCTAGGTATACCTAGATGGTCCTTGGTATACCTAGATGTTTCTAGGTGTACCTAGATGGTCCTAGGTGCACCTAGATGGTCCTAGGTATTCCTAGATGTTTCTAGGTGTACCTAGGTGTACCTAGATGGTCCTAGGTGCACCTAGGTGTGCTAATTGTATTTAGGTGTACCTTGATATCCCTAAGTGTACTTAAGTGTAATTAAGTGTAATTAAGTGTACTTAAGTGTAATTAAGTGTAATTAAGTGTAATTAAGTGTAATTAAGTGTAATTAAGTGTAATTAAGTGTAGCTAAATTCGTGCAGAGTGGTGCACCAACACATCATGGGTGCGTGCGTGTGCGTGAGTGCGTGCGTGTGCGTGAGTGCGTGCGTGTGCGTGTAGTGACTACTTGTGTTCACAGGACCGAGGTTCGGCACCCTCACATTGCCATCTAATTCAATGACTAAATTATTATCCTTCTGTTTTTGAAATTGTGTATGAAGTTGGAGTCGTTGGTCTGTTCCCTTATTTTTCCCCTCATTTTCCTACTCCCTTTACCTTTGTCTTACCTACACTTACCCTTACCTATTTACCCACCTTACCTACACTTATCTACCTTGCCTATTTATCTACGTTACCTACACCTACCTATTTACCTACCTTACCTTCAGTTATATATTAACCTACCTTACCTACAGCTTACATTTTTACCTACCTTACCTACACTTACCTAATAATCCTACCCTACCAAATAATCCTACTTTACCTAATAATTCTACCTTACCTAATAATCCTACGTTACCTACACTTACCTATTTACCTTCCTTACCTACACACTTACAGCAGTTACCCCACACACCTGTCAGGTGCCCGTCTTACACACACAACGTAGCTGCAACGTTTTTGTGACGTTATTACGTCGTTTAGACGTTGCGTCAGAGGCCAGAGACGTTGCGTCAGAGGCCAGAGACATTGCGTCCCCCCCCCCTTGCCCTCTACAGGGAGTCGAGGGCAAGGGGGGGACGAAGTTGTGTTAGAGACGTCGACCCCTGACATCAGTGACGTCGGCCACTGACGTCAGTGACGCCGACCACTGACGACCACTGATAGCGCTCTTTCGGGGCTATTAAGACCAACGGTCTTATTTCGGGCTATTAAGACCAACGGTCTCATTTCGGGCTATTAAGACCAGGTAATCACCTTGGAAGGGTGGCCGCAGACTAGACAGCGGCCGTTGAATAACTCTCGAAATTAACAGGTAATCAAGAGATATGTTCATATTGTGAGGGTATTGATCTGTTAGATTTATATTTATTCAGTTTATATGAATTTATATAGAATTTATATTTTACGTTAATTTATACATTTCGATAGCAACTTGTATGATGGTTTGAAGTGGACTGCATTTCTTAAAATTCCCACAAATCGATTTCCTTACACATTATGGGGGGTTTTATGGTTTACATGTAGTTAATCAAAATTATTTATTAGTAGACATTCACTAGAGTATTAGACTACATACATATATATTAAGTCAAATGGGGAGGCCTTATCTTATCGTTCTTACGTACTAGACAACCAGTATGAACACGTGTGAATAAGTCAGTCGTTACACCTTGTGGGTGTGACTGACTTCTAACTAGTGTACTGGGGCCAGATTCACGAAAGCACTTACGCAAGCACTTACGAATCTGTACATCTTTCCTCAATCTTTGGCGGCTTTGTTTACAATTATTAAACAGCTAATGAGCTCCGAAGCACCAGGAGGCTGTTTATAACAATAACAACAGTTGATTGACAAGTTTTCATGCTTGTAAACTGTTTAATAAATGTAATCAAAGCTGTCAAAGATTGAGGAAAGATGTACACGTTCGTAAGTGCTTGCGTAAGGTCTTTCGTGAATCTGGCCCCTGGAGTACTACGGGTTTGTACTGCCGTATATGACTATATACGGTAGTACAGCAAGGATATTTACCTAGCGACATAACCTAGGTAAATATTCCTTGGTCCTTATCTTATAATCAACATACCAATGTTTCCTCTGTTAATTCTTGGTCCTCTTCTGTTCCACCTGTCAAAGGGCACTCACAAATAATAGCAGTAATCCTATATATATGACAGTTATATCAGAGGAAACATTAGTATATTGATTATAAGATAAGGACCAAGGAATATTTACGTAGCTTATGTCGTTGTCTCGTATCCTAACCGGAAAATATCCTAAATATTAAAGGCCTCTAATAAGCCAGATAATATAGGAATCGGAAGGGACACTACTCTTATTGTAGACGAAGTTGGAGCTGATAATGGAAGCATTATTAATCCCGTAATCACGGTCCAAAGGAGAATTATCGGAACAAGATTTGCCCCAGCGACTGCTGTCTAATTAACAATTACTGACTCCTGGGGCCAGATTCACGAAAGCACTTACGCAAGCACTTACGAACGTGTACATCTTTCCATAATCTTTGACGGCTTTGGTTACATTTATTAAACTGTTTACAAGCATGAAAACTTCCCATTCAAATGTTGTTATTATTATAAACAGCCTCCTTGTGCTTCGAAGCTGTTTAATAATTGGAAACAAAGCCGCCAAAGATTGAGAAAAGATTTACAGGTTCGTAAGTGTTTGCGTAAGTGCTTTCGTGAATCTGGCCCCTGCTGGCCCTCCTCCACTGACGCCCTGGCTCTCTTGTCCACATGCCGACGGTCGTTAGAGGGGGCCAACATTTACTCGATTTTGGTACTGATAATTAAGTTGGTTCAAGGGAATTTTTTTATGATGTTTACAGTCCCGACACAGCTTTATTAAGCATAATTCCCAACAGAATTAGCTGGAGAATTTAATAGCGACGTGGCAATGATGTCCCGTTTTCTTCCTTGGAAAATTTCACTGTGCCACATCTTTTATGAACTAAATTGTTAGTATAACCCAGCAGCAATATTATCTGCCTATTGTATTGAATATTAGTTAATGGTGTCGGATTTTGCGACACATACTTTCAGCCTGCTGATATATAACATATTATGGGGGGGTGAGGGGGGGTTAGTGCATCCACTTGAACTGGTTGTAAATCGACGGCCTCGTCTGTTGTGGGGTCGGCATTCGACCCCTGACGATCGAAGCGGTTGGGCACTGTTCCGTCCCTCTGTCATATAGTCATAGACTATCTTAGCGCTTGCTCCTGATAATGACCCTTCGTGTCAGCATCTTGAAGACGCTCATCTTGTTTCATCCCTTTTTCAGCGTGACCAGGCGGGGAGGTGGCCGGCTGCAGTGCTCGCAGCAACGGAGCTCCACACCATGGCGACGGTGACAACATATGCAGGAACATGTGCCACATGCCACATGAGCCTACTGGACTGTGCACAGCCTATCTGAGGCCTATACGATCCTTCGTGCGAGGATTCGAGCGGGTGTGGAGAGGAGAGAGCGGCGGGAGGTGGCTGCCGTGCGCCCCACCACCGGCCAGGATGGGGCAGCTGGGTACCAGGAGGGCGGGGTACCACTGCCCGGTCAGGTAGTGGTGACCTACCTGGATACCCAGCTGACTACCCTGGCACGGTCGCTCGACGCCCGCCGGGGTGGGAGTGTGGTCGAGGGCCCCAGACGGGGGCCCTCGACCCCCTCCCACCCCGAGAAACCCGTGTGGACCGTTGACAGCTGGACGCCCGACAGTACCAATAAACAGAGAAGTCTGAACAGCAGCAGCAGCAGCAGCGGCGAGACTGACAGCAGTTCCGGTGACAGCTTAGGGAGCACAACGGGCAGCGCTGGAAGCCTAGGCTGCGGGCAGAGCTGGATGCGACCAGACACATCTGCGGGCTGCTGTTCCTGCCTGTGTCCCGCCTCGCGGGCATCATCAGCCGTCGATCATGACAACGAAGTGGTGGTCATGCCCGCTAGTGCCCGCCTGGCCATGCCCCGGCGGGCACGCCTCCTCAATGCCCTGTCTCTTAAGGAAGACAACGCGCGCTTCCTGCTGCTGGCGCTGGTACTGCTGATCTACATGGTGTTAGGGGCGCTCGTCTTCCAGGCCTTCGAGGAGGAGAACGAGAGGCGGGAGAGGGCGAGACTCCAGCAGCAGTTCACCCTCCAGACGCAGAAGATGCTGGACGACCTCGATCGCAACAACGTGAGCATGGCTGGGGTCCAGGAGCTGATGTACGCCTGGGGGAACATGTCCCACGGCGGCATGCCGGACTCCCGCAGGCTCTGGGACTTCGCTGGCAGCTTCCACTTCGTCTACACTGTCGTCTCCACTATAGGTAAGTCACTACTCTCTTCTTCAACTATTTTACTATTCCTTTCCCGCCGTCCCATCCCAAATCCTTATTCTGACCCCTTCCCAGTGCTATATAGTCGTAACGGCTTGGCGCTTTCCCTTGATAATTCCTTCCTTCCTTCCTTCCTTCCTTCCTTCCTTCCTTCCTTCCTTCCTTCCTTCCTTCCTTCCTTCCTTCCTTCCTTCCTTCCTTCCTTCCTTCCTTCCTTCCTTCCTTCTGATAAGGTCCAGGACTGACCGAAAAGTAAATTTTTATTTAATTTTAAATGTGTGTGTTTGTTTGTTGAGTTGTTTCTTGTCCCCCTGTCTTTAGGGGCGATGTTCGCTTGTTGTTGTGTGTTTGTGTGCGCGAAATTCCCAAAGGATGTCATCGTATTACAGTGGTCTACGTTCTCGGCTTATAATCCAAGGATCTTAACCCAAGGATGGTTTAACGATTCATTTTCAACCACCTTGTTATACCGGCCACCTTGTTACTTCCTCCTGCGTGGTGACAGCAGGAAAATCAACCACCAACACTCTCTTCCCGTCTAAGCTGTCCTTTTGCCCTATAACCTCAGCGTCATAACGTCACTCGTTAAGTAATATTAACTTCATCTTACCTTAACATTGAGAAATTATTGAGGATCTGCAAAGGGATCGAACCCTCAGCCCTGGCTTTCGTGACGTAGCAATTAAAGGAGGTTTAATAAGGCTTTTAGAGTTTAGGAAACACATGTAAGTGGCTCTTAAGATCTTGGTACTGATCGTTGTTTAAGAAGTAGGCAAGATCATATTGAGAAAAGTGTAAGTATATATCACTTGGATGGGATATGAGGACAAGGAGCTGGGATATGAGGACAAGGAGCTGGGGTATGAGGACAAGGAGCTGGGGTATGAGGACAAGGAGCTGGGATATGAGGACAAGGAGCTGGGGTATGAGGACAAGGAGCTGGGATATGAGGACAAGGAGCTGGGGTATGAGGACAAGGAGCTGGGATATGAGGACAAGGAGCTGGGGTATGAGGACAAGGAGCTGGGATATGAGGACAAGGAGCTGGGATATGAGGACAAGGAGCTGGGATATGAGGACAAGGAGCTGGGGTATGAGGACAAGGAGCTGGGATATGAGGACAAGGAGCTGGGATATGAGGACAAGGAGCTGGGGTATGAGGACAAGGAGCTGGGGTATGAGGACAAGGAGCTGGGGTATGAGGACAAGGAGCTGGGATATGAGGACAAGGAGCTGGGATATGAGGACAAGGAGCTGGGATATGAGGACAAGGAGCTGGGATATGAGGACAAGGAGCTGGGATATGAGGACAAGGAGCTGGGATATGAGGACAAGGAGCTGGGATATGAGGACAAGGAGCTGGGATATGAGGACAAGGAGCTGGGATATGAGGACAAGGAGCTGGGATATGAGGACAAGGAGCTGGGATATGAGCAAGGAGCTGGGATATGAGGACAAGGAGCTGGGGTATGAGGACAAGGAGCTGGGATATGAGGACAAGGAGCTGGGATATGAGGACAAGGAGCTGGGATATGAGGACAAGGAGCTGGGATATGAGGACAAGGAGCTGGGATATGAGGACAAGGAGCTGGGATATGAGGACAAGGAGCTGGGATATGAGGACAAGGAGCTGGGATATGAGGACAAGGAGCTGGGATATGAGGACAAGGAGCTGGGGTATGAGGACAAGGAGCTGGGGTATGAGGACAAGGAGCTGGGGTATGAGGACAAGGAGCTGGGGTATGAGGACAAGGAGCTGGGATATGAGGACAAGGAGCTGGGGTATGAGGACAAGGAGCTGGGCTATATGAGGACAAGGAGCTGGGATATGAGGACAAGGAGCTGGGGTATGAGGACAAGGAGCTGGGATATGAGGACAAGGAGCTGGGATATGAGGACAAGGAGCTGGGATATGAGGACAAGGAGCTGGGATATGAGGACAAGGAGCTGGGATATGAGGACAAGGAGCTGGGATATGAGGACAAGGAGCTGGGGTATGAGGACAAGGAGCTGGGATATGAGGACAAGGAGCTGGGATATGAGGACAAGGAGCTGGGATATGAGGACAAGGAGCTGGGATATGAGGACAAGGAGCTGGGGTATGAGGACAAGGAGCTGGGATATGAGGACAAGGAGCTGGGATATGAGGACAAGGAGCTGGGATATGAGGACAAGGAGCTGGGATATGAGGACAAGGAGCTGGGATATGAGGACAAGGAGCTGGGATATGAGGACAAGGAGCTGGGATATGAGGACAAGGAGCTGGGATATGAGGACAAGGAGCTGGGATATGAGGACAAGGAGCTGGGATATGAGGACAAGGAGCTGGGATATGAGGACAAGGAGCTGGGGTATGAGGACAAGGAGCTGGGGTATGAGGACAAGGAGCTGGGATATGAGGACAAGGAGCTGGGGTATGAGGACAAGGAGCTGGGGTATGAGGACAAGGAGCTGGGGTATGAGGACAAGGAGCTGGGATATGAGGACAAGGAGCTGGGATATGAGGACAAGGAGCTGGGATATGAGGACAAGGAGCTGGGATATGAGGACAAGGAGCTGGGATATGAGGACAAGGAGCTGGGGTATGAGGACAAGGAGCTGGGATATGAGGACAAGGAGCTGGGATATGAGGACAAGGAGCTGGGATATGAGGACAAGGAGCTGGGGTATGAGGACAAGGAGCTGGGGTATGAGGACAAGGAGCTGGGATATGAGGACAAGGAGCTGGGATATGAGGACAAGGAGCTGGGGTATGAGGACAAGGAGCTGGGGTATGAGGACAAGGAGCTGGGATATGAGGACAAGGAGCTGGGGTATGAGGACAAGGAGCTGGGATATGAGGACAAGGAGCTGGGGTATGAGGACAAGGAGCTGGGATATGAGGACAAGGAGCTGGGATATGAGGACAAGGAGCTGGGATATGAGGACAAGGAGCTGGGATATGAGGACAAGGAGCTGGGATATGAGGACAAGGAGCTGGGGTATGAGGACAAGGAGCTGGGATATGAGGACAAGGAGCTGGGATATGAGGACAAGGAGCTGGGATATGAGGACAAGGAGCTGGGATATGAGGACAAGGAGCTGGGATATGAGGACAAGGAGCTGGGATATGAGGACAAGGAGCTGGGATATGAGGACAAGGAGCTGGGGTATGAGGACAAGGAGCTGGGATATGAGGACAAGGAGCTGGGATATGAGGACAAGGAGCTGGGATATGAGGACAAGGAGCTGGGATATGAGGACAAGGAGCTGGGATATGAGGACAAGGAGCTGGGATATGAGGACAAGGAGCTGGGATATGAGGACAAGGAGCTGGGGTATGAGGACAAGGAGCTGGGGTATGAGGACAAGGAGCTGGGATATGAGGACAAGGAGCTGGGGTATGAGGACAAGGAGCTGGGGTATGAGGACAAGGAGCTGGGATATGAGGACAAGGAGCTGGGATATGAGGACAAGGAGCTGGGATATGAGGACAAGGAGCTGGGATATGAGGACAAGGAGCTGAAATATGAGGACAAGGAGCTGGGATATGAGGACAAGGAGCTGAAATATGAGGACAAGGAGCTGGAATATGAGGACAAGGAGCTGGGGTATGAGGACAAGGAGCTGGGATATGAGGACAAGGAGCTGGGGTATGAGGACAAGGAGCTGGGGTATGAGGACAAGGAGCTGGGATATGAGGACAAGGAGCTGGGGTATGAGGACAAGGAGCTGGGATATGAGGACAAGGACTGGGATATGAGGACAAGGAGCTGGGATATGAGGACAAGGAGCTGGGACATGAGGACAAGGATCTGGGATATGAGGACAAGGAGCTGGGGTATGAGGGCAACAAGCTGGGATATGAGGACAAGGAGCTGGGATATGAGGACAAGGAGTGTGTGGGAAGGGAGCTGGGATTGAGTAATACCCAATCCTCCCCGCCAGCCCCTGATCTCGTACAGAACACTTGAGGAGGGGGTCACTTTCACGGCTACAAGCTATCGAAAAATGACCTTTACTTGAGGAGGGGGTGTGTGGGAAGGGAGCCCCCATTGAGCAATACCCAATCCTCCCCGCCAGCCCCGATCTCGTACGCTGATACACTTACAAACAGGTTCCAATGATCTATACAGAAATGCCAAACCAATCTGTCGATGGAAAGGTCAGAGAGGGAGGAGCGGTTTGTGGAACAGGTGACGCAGAAGACGCAGGAAGGGAGGAAAAGGGACGGGGTGAGAAGAGTTGAGTGAGAAATATTCATGTGTATGTGGAACGGACACATGAAAAACGACTTGCGTTCGAACGTAACCAAACCCAATTTAACCTAACCTAACCTAGTCCAACCTAACCAAACCTAAGCTAACTTAACCAAACCTTACCTAACCTTTTTCTAAACTAACCTAACTTAACCTAACCTAACCTAACCTAACCTAAACTAACCTAACCTAACCTAAACTAACCTAACCTAGCCTAACCTAACCTAGCCTAACCTAACCTAACCTAACTTAACCTAACCTAACCTAACCTAACCTAACCTAACCTAACCTAACCTAACCTAACCTAAACTAACCTAACCTAACCTAACCTAACCTAACCTAACCTAACCTAACCTAACCTAACCTAGCCTGCATCCATGGACCCCCCCCCCCCCACACGCATAATGATCCAGTCAGGAGTGCGTGTGGCTGAGGAGCTGAGAACCGAGACTCATCAACCATTCACACAACCACTGACGAAACCTCTACATCTTCCCTTAACCGCGGTGGCTTTTGTTTACATCAACTAAACAGCTGACGAGCAAACGTCACAACCCGAGCTTCGGGGGCTCATAAACAGTTTAATGGATCCAAATTCTCAGTGAGTGCTGGGGCCGGAGATCAGGGTTCGAGCCCCGGTATACGCCTCACTGCCTCGGTTCATCTCCCCGCTCTGTTTGTTGTATTGTTTAATGGTTTGTTGGTTTGTATCTAAGCGTCGTGGCTTTGTATAATGATGGGTTGTATAATGAA